CAAAAGGTTCCAATTTGAATGGAGTAAGAAGTTTTTTTTTAAATATTAGGTCATACCCTCTTCCCTCATACAAAAGTAGGTCACCTTCACCCATGGATGCTCTAGATCACAGTTATTCCGAGTCCGTTATCCAATAACCATATCTGCAAGAATCTTTAAGATTGTCTCCAGTATTTGGCCCCCTGCCCCCTAGGGCGTCAGATCCTTGATTTATACAAACTGGGGTCTATTTTTACTTAAGGAAGCTTCAATAGAAAATTAGGTCGAAATCCAACCAAACGTACTGAACTAGAAAGTAACGGACGGCGAGACGGCGAGACTGATGGACGGCAGGACGAAAGGAACATCATAAGAAAGCTTCACTTCAGAAAAATAGTACAACGATTTAAAGCCGGTATCTCATTTTTGTTAGATGTTTTAATACGTTTTCTCTTTCTATTTATTTTCAATATATCGTCATCTACAAATCGAGACAGAGGTCCCGAAGTTAAACAAATAAATCCTTATCACATGTAGTGGGTCGCTAAGGAGATAAAACAGGACTTCAAGCAGCGGTGTTAGTGATATAGACAATGTTCAACTGTCTCTCCATATATAACACGTCAATCTGTCAAAATTAGAAATTACGTAATCAAATGAAAAATCGACTGTTGAATTTACGTCAGAATGTAATTTATAACACTTTAAAAGCAATTACATCGCATGTATAGACCATATCTTCTTTCTTTAGGACTTCTGAGGTATTGATGACCTATGTGGCAAGCCTTAGTGACGACAGATGTGCTGTTAATACGTCGCCTAGGCAACATACGTGTAATAGACTATAACCATGGCCTATTACAGGATTTACTTTTTAATTCACTTAAAACAACGTGTACTGGAAAATCATAAATGTTCGTGGTAGATTTATTTTCGTCCATTTTTTGGTTATTCTTAGTCCAATAATCCACATGTACACAAACTTTTGAAATAAGTATTAGTTGTTTCATTAAGAAATCGAGTGTAAAGTGTCCACTGAATGATATTTAGATAAATGAATTAATAAAAAATCACGAAAATTAAAACCGGAAAAATATATTATTTAAATTCTACAATAGATTTCAAACCACTATCGTCCTAATTACAATTTTGTTCTGTGATAATTTTACTACAGGTAAAGAGCAGCAACTTTCAATGCAGATTTAGAACTCAATAAAGCAGGACAAAATGATGAATAATTAATGCATCATACAGATATTTTGTCCTTACAGGACTCTTCAGTGCAAAAAGAAATACATTTTAAATCCAGGTAGAGCCGAAAGAAATGTGAAATCTTAAAGCCCCGCCATTTAATACATTTCATTATTTTCTTTTATGTGGTAATGTCAATAGAACGCCAAGTTTATGCGCCAAGTTTATGTGGTAATGTCAACAGAACGCCGAGTATATGTGGTGATGTCAACAGAACGCCGAGTATATGTGGTGATGTCAACAGAACGCCGAGTATATGTGGTGATGTCATCAGAACGCCGAGTATGTGTGGTGATGTCAACAGAACGCCGAGTATGTGTGGTGATGTCAACAGAACGCCGAGTATGTGTGGTGATGTCAACAGAACGCCGAGTATGTGTGGTGATGTCAACAGAACGCCGAGTATGTGTGGTGATGTCAACAGAACGCCGAGTATGTGTGGTGATGTCAAGAGAACGCCGAGTATGTGTGGTGATGTCAACAGAACGCCGAGTATATGTGGTGATGTCAACAGAACGCCGAGTATATGTGGTGATGTCAACAGAACGCCGAGTATATGTGGTGATGTCAACAGAACGCCGAGAATATGTGGTGATGTCAACAGAACGCCGAGTATATGTGGTGATGTCAACAGAACGCCGAGTATATGTGGTGATGTCAACAGAACGCCGAGTATATGTGGTGATGTCAACAGAACGCCGAGTATATGTGGTGATGTCAACAGAACGCCGAGTATATGTGGTGATGTCAACAGAACGCCGAGTATATGTGGTGATGTCAATAGAACGCCGAGTATATGTGGTGATGTCAACAGAACGCCGAGAATATGTGGTGATGTCAACAGAACGCCGAGTATATGTGGTAATGTCAACAAAACGCCGAGTATCACTATCACAACACAGGTAAACGTGGCGTGAAGGAAAAGTCAAACTCTGGGACTTTGAGATACTCTGCAAACGGGGCATGTTTCTCTCCATTTATCTCCAGTATTTTCTCATTTGAAACATACTTTACATATCATTTGGTAAATAAATGAAATAAACATTGGAATGGTCTATTGTCATCTACAGTCGCAATAAGTAGACACCTAGGGGATCACTGTCATCACAGTCACTCCCCTACCCAGCTCCGCCCCACCCAGCTCCACCCCTATTTCGTTCCCATTCCATCCGAAAAGATATACTCCATACTTTAGAATACATACAGTTATATCACATTTATCTTGTTGTCTTAGAAATAAATTATAGAGCAAAGGAAACAATGTTAAAAGTTGCGATACGATCTGTGTATTACGTGTTCCTGAAAATGTCTTGTAGTATTGGTAATATATACAAGCTGGGTATCCAGTAGGCCTTGTAGATCTCAGATAACCCTGTTACCCTCGGGTTATACGCCCAATCATTGTGGGTTTTTTATGTACAGTATTCGTCGATACCATGCACAGACTCTCTACCAGATCCGACTGGAATTATCAGTTAAAATATGACGTTAACTGTCTGATTATTTAAGTTTGAAATGGAGATGAAAGAGAGAGAAGTGAAAAAGATCAATTAGAAGGAAAATTGAACGAGTTCATGAATACATGAACGCACATTCTGATTACTCTTTTGTGCTAAATATGATAAAACTTACTGACCCCAGGGATATAAACATATACATGTACAAACGACCCCAATCAAAATTGTTTTCTGTCACGTGACGAAGTATGATCTCTGGGAGCTGATAAAATCTACCAAACCATGTTTTCTTTATTCCTGGTAGAGTCAATCAATACAACACTATTGATGGTTCGATTTGTATCAACAATATAATTACTAGTTTATGATAGCTGTTGAACAGCTGGTGCTTGTCTGATAGTAAAATACAAAACCATGTTAAAGCTGTTCAAATACACAGCTGGTAGTCGCATTACTTATATCTCTAGCTTATTGATATAAAATATCGTATATTTTGAGAGAAATCATTTAATTTCAGAGTAATTGACAGCTTGAGCTGTTTATTAGAAATCTTGCTAGATCTGCGACATCTTACCTGGTAACTGTTCGACACTGACTGAGTTATATATCCACAGAGATAAACAGTTTGTTTACATCCTGATAAAATGGAAAGGAAAATTACTCTCACACATATGTTGCACTTTCAACTATTTAAAAATTGTATGGATTAAAAAAAATGTATTTCCTGAAAGTAAAGTGGTATACCTAATCTGTGTAAATTATGCGGGGTTGGGGACTGGTATCAATCCATTACAGTAAATTATATTACCGTACAACTACAGGCATTGTGGAACCTATTTCAAACATTCTTCTCACCTTTATTGAATAATATTGATCTAGAAAATAGGTTTGCACGCTACATTATTTTGCAGTGTGCACTTCGTAATAACATTTTTGAATTTTACGGATATCTACAATGTGTATACAACATAAATCAAGTGATGTGACTCACATTCTTTAAGACAACAAACAGAACCGAGAGGTTCGTGATGTACTTCCTACAACCCCATGGTTAAGACAGGGTGAGTTGAACTACTGATTTACCTAAAGATGAACTGTGCTTGTTGATCCAAGATTGCTTTCAGATCTCAAACCAGTTTGACGATTAGAAATAGGTCCAAAATAACGTAATATTTGATATGTACGTTATTTAAAGGTAAGCAATTTGATTTTGTTCTCAATTGTGCCTTTTATCATTTTTATTATCTAATTCTAAACACGAGCCACTAACAAATCCATCTTTTTTCTCGATTTTCAGGACATCATACTCACTGGATGTCAACACTGCTTCATCCAAACCGTTTTGCAGTTCTGTAAAATCGGTGAGTTTCGTGGTAGATTCATTTTCGTTGATTGCATGGAAAGATCTTAACACAAGAATCCCTCTGTTTAGATTAGTGTAAATTGATTCATTGTGCTATATTTATTCCCGAATATAAATGTCATCGAAAACAAAAATTTGGGGGGGGGGGGATTTACATAATTTTTCAGTATTGTTTTCTACTTTTTTTTTTTTTGCTTTTAAGTACAATATCTTATGTTTGACAGAGAATAATAATGTTCCCGTATGTAAGATATATAATAAGTTCCCGTATGTAAGGTATATAATAAGTTCCCGTATGTAAGGTATAAAATAAGTTCCCGTATGTAAGGTATATAATTAGTTACCGTATGTAAGGTATATAATAAGTTCCCGTATGTAAGGTATGAAATAAGTTCCCGTATGTAAGGTATATAATTAGTTAACCTATGTAAGGTATATAATAAGTTCCCGTATGTAAAGTATATAACAAGTCAGATGGTTGATGATAATGTAGAAACAAGTCATATGGTAAATAAGGAATCGATATCAATATTTTTGGTACTTACATTATTACATCTGATACCACAAAATTTATTTCTAGGAAGTTCTATCGAGAAAGGAGGGGTAGTCTGTCGTGTAAAAGCAATACAACCGTTGAGTCGTTATTTTGATATATAAAGTTGGGATTTGCAGGACATATTTTGCTTAAAGTTGGAACAAACAGTCAACAAATTAAACGTTTAGAAAAGAAGCTGAATTTTTTCATATGGATGTAACACATGTAAACATCATTAAATATACCAACTCGCTGAGGTTCAATTCGATAACGTCAAATGTTGCGAACGACACTCAAAGCGGCACTAAAATACTTTCAAAATTGTGGTTTTGGTAGATTTTGTATGGCCGCGAATCCATAGTTGGATCCTTTCCTTTATCTTTTTTCTAAAATTAAACTTTAAAAGTTTACTTACCAAACTTGCGTCCAGGATATTCACCGTGTCTCCATTTGCAGCAACATGTCCTATTATTCCTTTTCCCCACGCGACTTTGATGCTGCTCTCACCGGAAGTGGATGGAAAGATTGAGGTCCCAGAATGAATATCAAATAACTTGGACACAAGGACAGGGCGATTAGAACCCTTTCCCTCTACAACAAACACGGACCCTGCATCACCATCAACTAACACACTAATGTTGGATTTTATCTTGTTGGTAAGACTCCGAAGGTCAAGGTCGTTGGAAATATCCTTCACAATTTCCAAAAAGAAATCCCGTTCGTTGAGTTGTCTCAGATCCCGCTTCATGTCGATATCTTTACTAGGATAACGTGGTAGTCTCACCTTTGACTGTATCAAAAGACTCAAAATGTTCACAGAATTTGGGGGCAGAGACCGGAACATCCGCATGTCTTTTAGACTACTACGTCGGCCCTCGATCGTGAGTTCGGGTGAGGACGTCGGCTCGTAAGTTCTAAATATGTTCTTCTTTTTTGATTTCGCGAAGTCCTGACGAAGATATTTTTTAGAATTTGTTCTTTGGTGAGCATTCTCAAAAAAACCATCATCACAACGAAGATCACGTGGAGAGGAGGGATTGCTGTTACCACCACTCAGTGAACCCCTTTTGGTAGGATGTGGTGCACTTTCACCTACCGCGCTATATCCGTGCAGTAACAGCCACTTGTTGATAAGGATAGTATCCGCTTTCTTTAGGAATAATTCATGCATGAAGTCTTTGTGTGAATCCATCCATTCCTCCACGGCACTCGCAGTCAATCCTGACATTGTCTCAAGTAACCTACTCCGATCTCATCAACAAATTGTTATATATGTGTCTTTCCATAGTTGGGAGACGGACATTTTGAAAGAGCCGTTTTCTATATAAAGCTCACATTCTGATAAACGCAAACGTAACAAGAAAATCACGATTTTGTTATTCAGAAAGCACCGTATTCAGTAGAGTGTAAGATCTCTCACATTTGTTTGTGTTCCTTTGAAAGAATTTGCCTCTCAGCGTTAGGGCGATTAAGTTTTCTTTCCAAACAGAAACATATTGGTAACACGAAACACTATTTGGTCATCGAATTTTTCAAACTTGCTGACTCGTGCCTATATATACAAACCAATGCTTGTCACGTGGTTTTTATAGCGTGCTCAACGTTGACCGTACATATAAAAACATTAAAAGTCATGAGTTGCCACGGGGTTTATGTTACAATTCATCTTACGAAAAAATCACTGTAAAAATCCAGCAATATTTCCTGTAGATCATACAATTATCCATACAATTAGTATTTTTACAAAAAGTAAAAAAAAATCTAAAGTACATATCCATTTACTGGATTAACTTCAACACCGAGTAAGTTTAACTTGCTGTGAACATTACGATATCAAATCCTACTATATCAGTATTACTCTGCAGCCCAATAGGGGACATTGTCCCCACACACCAAGCTAATCCCGTATGTTGTTATACAGAGCCAGTACGAATGACTGGATATGATGAGAGCGTAGTGTTTCAGTTCTGTGTTAGCGGTCGCCCAACAGATATGTATCTATCGGCGCATTTGCTATTGCGGATCGATATCTGCTGGAAGCTGTGATCCGGTCGCGTAGTAATCATGTGTCATCCAGGATCATTTTGCCGCGCATTCTGACAAAAAGTGACACCATTATTGAAAAGAATCATACTTCTCTGTATTACGAACACTATTGTACCAACTGACAACTTCATTAATTATTGACTGGTGTTAAATGCTGTAGACGGTACCATATAAAATATACCTATACCTATGACTGCTCCCAACTCTGATGTAGAACGAACTGACCGCTAAGTCATTGATTCTATGATACTATAATAATGAGAATCAGTCACCATTATCTATAGGAAAGAATGTGCGCTCATTCGTGTGGTATTAATAGCGAAATTTGAATAACTAAACGGTCATCTATGTATATATAGTACGGACTTGATGACTCTAGTAAATGTCGATGAATTCACTTTCAGATAAAAACACAAGATATTTTTTTCATATTCATCAATGTGTACAATAACAGACCAAATATTTTTATGATACGACAGTACGTTTTATAAATGTAAAGCCTATATATGACATGACAGTACGTTTTATAAATGTAAAGTCTATATATGACATGACAGTACGTTTTATAAATGTAAAGCCTATATATGACATGACAGTACGTTTTATACATGTAAAGTCTGTATATGATACGACAGTACGTTTTATAAATGTAAAGTCTATATATGACATGACAGTACGTTTTATAAATGTAAAGTCTATATATGACATGACAGTACGTTTTATAAATGTAAAGTCTGTATATGATACGACAGTACGTTTTATAAATGTAAAGCCTATATATGACATGACAGAACGTTTTATAAATGTGAAGTCTGTATATGATACGACAGTACGTTTTATAAATGTAAAGTCTATATATGACATGACAGAACGTTTTATCAATGTAAAGTCTTTATATGACATGACAGTACGTTTTATAAATGTAAAGTCTGTATATGACATGACAGTACGTTTTATAAATGTAAAGTTTTTATATAAGACAGTACGTTTTATAAATGTGAAGTCTGTATATGATACGACAGTACGTTTTATAAATGTAAAGCCTATATATGACATGACAGTAAGTTTTATAAATGCCTTTATATAGCCTTTATATAAGACAGTACGTTTTATAAATGTATATAGCCTTTATATGATAGGACAGTACGTTTTATAAATGTAAAGCCTTTATATGATAGGACAGTACGTTTTATAAATGTAAAGCCTATATATGACATGACAGTAAGTTTTATAAATGTATAGCCTTTATATAAGACAGTACGTTTTATAAATGTAAAGCCTTTATATGATAGGACAGTACGTTTTATAAATGTAAAGCCTTTATATGATAGGACAGTACGTTTTATAAATGTAAAGCCTATGGATGATTCACATGTTTACCATGCATTCCCCCGTTCATTAAGACAACAATACCTAAAACTGTATCCAACCTCCACAATGAAATGCGAGTTTAAAATTCAATAAGTAAATAGTTCACCAAGGAAATAAAAGATAATGTAATTATTTAAAAGATAAACTTTAGAAACAGCAATAACATGTATTTTCTCAACAGTAACATGACAAACATTATCCAGTATTCTCTTTATAATACTTATTTTTCGAATCATTACAAAGTTGTATGTGACAGGTGAATATTTGATTACAGCCTGTACATTTAACAGTAAGCTTCAGATTGTGATGTGGCCGACCATGCCATCAGTTACTCTAACACTGTTAAAATTCCTATCATTGGTTAACGTCGGCAATACTTTGAGGAATATTTCAATCGATATACAAATTAATTTTACCCTATGTAGTTATTGACTTTACAATATTGCTCGTAAGATGTGAAATGATTGTTTACAATTTTATACATAACATTTATAACTTGTTTCGAAATATCACTCTAGCCTTTAACAACATCCTTGTCGAGTTTGGCGGTAAGATCTTCCAACAGACTCTTGGCATACCTATGGAACTAACTTTACCCCTCTGGTGTCTGACTTTTAGTGTTCATTTCAAGCTGACTTTTTTAAGAAGAGGTTGTCAAAACAGGTCAAAGACATACATTTTAATTTTATATATATTGGTGACGTCTTGTCTCTAAATAACAAGAGATTTATTGACCGAGTCCATCAAACGTACCCACTAGAATTTAAAGGACACGACTGCCTCTTCTACATCAGTCGCCGATTTCGATCTTTTCCTATCATGAAACCAACACGGATAGCTTTCAACCGCACTGCATGAAAAACATGAAGATTTCGATTTCCCTATTGTTAATATCCCTTTTCTGGATAGCAACAGTCCTACATTACCAATACAAAGTGTTCACATGTTGCAGTTTCATTTAAATTCATGATTTTCGTACAAGATATCGGCAAATGACAAGCTCACAATAGAGGTGTCGAGAGATGTTATTCTCTTGTTCAATATTCTTATTATTTGCCCAGATTTCTACATGTGACTCTTGTTCACCGAAATTTAATTTGGATTCTGTTGACAGAAAGTATTTTCTTTTATTTTCATTTAACAAATCATAAAACTAAATCACAACAGAAAATGTAATCTCAGATTGTCTGGGTGAAGAGTGTGCTTTACGAAATATCAATTCCCATTTCATACTGAACGCCGGAAATCTGCCATCAGCCACGTCTGTGTATCGATGTTATATATAGTTTTACCGTCCAGTTTATGGCCACGGTTATTTCATCAGTATGTCGATGATAATTACCCAATGATATTTTCTGTAACATTTCATCCATCCACAAACACAATACTTTGATTCCGAGAATATATTAATTATTTTTCATATGCATATTTCTGTTTGTGATTGTTATGAAACAATGTTAGAAATTTTAATTAAGTAAAATATGTGTACATTTGTGTATTAGATTTTTATCTCGTCGCACTTGGTGAACTTAGCATCTTAAAATCTTGTTGATTTCTAAAACTTTTCATTGGAAAAGGTTTTTTTTATAATAAGGACACTTTGCAATTCGATTTCCAAAACAACATTTATTTTTGTAATTTTTTTAGGATGAATTACTTCCTATTTTACATACTCTTCAACAGTAACGACAAAACTTATAGCGCTACTGGAGGTCCTCTTATATTCGAGATTGAAGGTGGTAGACACTGTTCGTGGATATTTAGTTTGTAGTTTGTTGTAAACATGTGTGTCACTTTTAAAGTCTTTCAAATAGTGGCACGATTCAAAATATACAAATGTACTTGACGTTCTTCTAAAATTATCAGGTGTATGAAAATCACGGAATTAATTGAATTATGGGGCTTGCGTACCTTCGCATTTTGATTTTGACGTTTCCTTCGATCGCTTGAGATGCCGCCTTGGTTTCACTGACGACTCCTAGAAAAATGGGCGATACCGTTTACTTCAGGGACTAAAACGGTACATTACAATGGGTAATTTTATATGCAAATTACGAATGTAAGTAGGTTCAGATATGAACGCCTCATCTATAAAAGTTTCGATCGAAAATAAACGCTTGAATGATTTTACAGATAAATCTATATACGCTATATAGCTACAACGAAAATGTTCACGTTTGTTTTGAGATCTACCATACATTTCGTAAGATGTTACATAGCTATCAATCAATCGTGCAGATTAAAAAATGTGTTACATTGTTTGTTTCTGGTTGTCATTTCTGTCAGTGGTATTGGACATACCAGTTCACGTGTGTCATCCGACGTGTCTACGCTAGTGAATAGAAAGGTCTTGTCTTTGGCACACAAAAAAACGGATTTTTAAAGCTGTTGGCGGCAAATTTCTCATTAGCCAAGCTGACATTTCTTCCGAACACAACGTCAATTCTTCAACCCATGGACCAAGGAGTCATTTCCAATTTCAAGTACCGTTAAGTCATACATTCTTTGTTTTTGTTTTTTGTTTTTTATTTTCAATACGGATTGGGAATATTTTGAAATAAGTAGATGTTTATCAGTTATCTGTTAGTATGTCTGCATAATTATACCTACAGCTATGCTCTTGGAAATATCACCTGGATTGATTTAGACTGATACGTAAATAATGAATAAGACGCCATTCCGGATAAAAAAGAAAATACCATGTCAACATAATCCAAACTCAAATTCCATAAAACTAGGGCAACGATGAGCAAAGGAAAGACTTACATGGAGACTCATGAAAAAGTACAAGGAGAATAAGATCAAGTGTACCGGTTATCAAAATTGATAACTAGGAAAAAATATAACCAAAAGAAATATTTGAAACAGCACCATGAGATCAACGCGCGGTTTCAAATCTTTCTTTAATTCGTATGTTGCCTTCGTTAAATGGAATTCGAGTTTAAATGACGGTTTTGTTGATATGTCGATATTCTCCAGCTGTTTTATAATACGTTTTGAAGGCCACAGAAATTTTGATTCATCCTTGAAATGTATCGGATTTAATAGATCGGGTTCCTATACTGATCTGGCATTGGTTCAAAATATCTTCTCTAGGGCTTTTATTGCACTAGTTTCCAAAGGCGTTGGCGTTCAGTACTGCTATCTGTTTGCTTTTATCTAAATTGCTGAATTGACTTTTTCATGAATCGATTGCTGATTTCAAAAATTGAAATAGACAACCACTATTAGACAAAGCTATTAAGGTACATATGTTTATCCCTAGATGTAACACACGGATAAATGACTCTTCTCCGTCTCGTTACTTTGATGAGGTTGAGTTGTGGAAAAGGTTTTACTCTATTTAAATAAGATAAAAGCACGTGGTGTTACTCCATTGAAATAAGATAAAAGCACGTGGTGTTACTCCATTGAAATGAGATAGAAGCACGTGCTACAGCTGGCCTACTCATTGATTCTTCACGTCTTTAACCAGAGAGCATCATCAGATAATGCTATTCTCAGAAAAAGGAGATACGAGGAACATCTCACTATTTAAATATCACGTACAATAACGATTGTCAAAAAGTGGGTCTTGATATTGCTGTTGAATTATCATCTATAAGATTTGTTTTGGCCATACCGGCGAACATAGCGAACATACCGGCGAACATAGCGATCATACCGGCGAACATAGCGAACATACCGGCGAACATAGCGAACATACCGGCGAACATAGCGAACATAGCAAACATAGCAAACATACCGGCGGCGAACATAGCGAACATAGCAAACATACCGGCGGCGAACATATCGGCGAACATAGCGATCATAGCGAACATAGCGAACATACCGGCGAACATAGCGAACATACCGGCGAACATAGCGAACCCGGCGAACATAGCGAACATAGCAAACATACCGGCGGCGAACATAGCGAACATAGCAAACATACCGGCGGCGAACATATCGGCGAACATAGCGATCATAGCGAACATAGCGAACATACCGGCGAACATAGCGAACATACCGGCGAACATAGCGAACATACCGGCGAACATAGCGAACATACCGGCGAACATAGCGAACATACCGGCGAACATAGCGAACATACCGGCGAATATATCGGCGAACATAGCGAATATACCGGCGAACATTGCGATCATAGCGAACATACCGGCGAACATAGCGAATATACCGGCGAACATAGCGAACATAGCGAACATACCGGCGAACATAGCAAACATACCGGCGGCGAACATAGCGAACATAGCAAACATACCGGCGGCGAACATATCGGCGAACATAGCGATCATAGCGAACATAGCGAACATACCGGCGAACATAGCGAATATACCGGCGAACATAGCGAACATAGCGAACATACCGGCGAACATAGCAAACATACCGGCGGCGAACATAGCAAACATACCGGCGGCGAACATATCGGCGAACATAGCGATCATAGCGAACATAGCGAACATACCGGCGAACATAGCGAACATACCGGCGAACATAGCGAACATACCGGCGAACATAGCGAATATACCGGCGAACATAGCGAACATACCGGCGAACATAGCGAACATAGCGAATATATCGGCGAACATAGCGAATATACCGGCGAACATTGCGATCATAGCGAACATACCGGCGAACATAGCGAATATACCGGCGAACATAGCGAACATACCAGCGATCATAGCGAACATAGCGAATATACCGGCGAACATAGCGAATATATCGGCGAACATAGCAATCATAGCGAACATAGCGAGCATACCGGCGAACATAGCGGACATACCGGTGAACATAGCGATCATAGCGAACATAGCGAACATACCGGCGAACATAGCGAACATACCGGCGAACATAGCGAACATACCAGCGATCATAGCGAACATAGCGAATATATCGGCGAACATAGCGAATATACCGGCGAACATAGCGATCATAGCGAACATAGCGAACATACCGGCGAACATAGCGAACATAGCGGACATACCGGCGAACATAGCGAACATAGCGGACATACCGGCGAAAATAGCGAACATACCGGCGAACATAGCGAACATAGCGGACATACCGGCGAACATAGCGAACATAGCCGACATACCGGCGAACAGGAACAAGGAAATACTAACTTGTCAACACAATCATAATTCAAACTCAAATTCAATAAAACTACAGCAAAAATTAACAAATGAAACGCTTACACGGAGATTCCTGAAAAAAGTACAAGGAGAATAAGACCAGGTGTTTCGGTATAGTAAGTGTCTACCGTTCATCGACGACTTCCGCCATGTACATCTTTGTCAATCCAATTAAATAATGTCACTGTCTGAAATGATATGGGAGCACCGGAACCAACAGGTAAACTAACGAGCATCAGACATCTCCAGTTTCCTGTCGCACAAAGAAACGAATATTTTTCAACGAGGTCTCTATGACGACCGTAAAATTACCCCATAATGTTTATCAATCTACACCTTTTGAATCCATGTGTTACTAGTGTTTTCAGTCAGTTTGACGACTTTTTGTACAGAAATCGTGATAACAGGAAGAGATACTACAGTATGAACATGTGACCAGCGGAGGTTGGAAACCTAGTTTTCATTGTTATAATACATCTTGTATCCCATACAGTGTACCTTCTAACAAACACGAAACACAGCCTAAGAAAAAGATGTTTCAATTCAAGGATGATCTCGCTCTTCATGGTAATTTAAACATTGACAAATAATATCCCAGACTTTTTAGACCATAACGTTTCACCAAAACAACAGGCTGATATCATGGAAAAACAAACGACGATGGGAGACAGTTTTGAGTTATATATTGTCCTGTGTTCAAACGTTTCCAAACCGTCTGGACAAGTACTATTTATAGCTTCTATAACCTCCACGAGATCCTGCCAGCCTCTCGTCCTCTGCCCTTTCTCGAAAAGATGTTTATAAATAAAACATGAGGACATTAAAATGTGATGGTAGGTCAGTGGTGTACATGTAAACGGTGTTGTACGTGTCGGCAGTGGTATAATGTCAACAGTGGTGTAACATGACAACAGTGGTGTAACATGTCAACATTGGTGTACATGTCAACAGTGGTGTACATGTCAACAGTGCAGTACATGTCAACAGTGGTGTAACATGTCAACAGTGGTGTACATGTCAACAGTGCAGTACATGTCAACAGTGGTGTAATATGTCAGCAGTGCAGTACATGTCAACAGTGGTGTAACATGTCAACAATAGTGTACATGTCAACAGTGCAGTTCATGTCAACAGTGGTGTACATGTCAACAGTGGTGTACATGTCAACAGTGGTGTAACATGTCAACAGTGCAGTACATGTCAAGAGTGGTGTAACATGTCAACAGTGGTGTACATGTCAACAGTTTAGTACATGTCAACAGTGGTGTAACATGTCAACAGTGCAGTACATGTCAACAGTGGTGTAACATGTCAACAGTGCAGTACATCTCAACAGTGGTGTAACATGTCAACAGTGGTGTACATCTCAACAGGTTGTACATCTCAACAGTGGTGTAACATGTCAACAGTGCAGTACATGTCAACAGTGGTGTAACATGTCAACAGTGCAGTACATCTCAACAGTGGTGTAACATGTCAACAGTGCAGTACATGTCGACAGTGTTGTACATCTCAACAGTGGTGTAACATGTCAACAGTGCAGTACATGTCAACAGTGGTGTAACATGTCAACAGTGGTGTAACATGTTAACAGTGGTGTACATGTCAACAGTGGTGTAACATGTCAACAGTGGTGTACATCTCAACAGTGGTGTAACATGTCAACAGTACAGTACATGTCAACAGTGGTGTGCATGTCAACAGTGGTGTAACATGTCAACAGTGCAGTACATGTCAACAGTGGTGTACATGTCAACAGTGGTGTAACATGTCAACAGTGGTGTACATGTCAACAGTGGTGTAACATGTCAACAGTGGTGTACATCTCAACAGTGGTGTAACATGTCAACAGTGGTGTAACATGTCAACAGTGCAGTACATGTCAACAGTAGTGTAGATGTCAACAATGTGGTATGTGTCGACAAATGTGTTTTAGTCCCCAGCGTTATACGTGACGTTCTACTTTACAATGGAGTACATTTCGACAAGATGCTATAGAGTGGATTAATTTCAGAGAATCTCTGTTTTATTGGAGTTTTAATGCTATCAGATGAGAAGCTGGTGACAAGCTAAGAAGACGGTCTGGTTAAAAAAATGGATCAGAAACCTTCATTAAGACACTTTCACGTGATATTTCTGTGGAAATTTCATTAAAACAGCAAAAAAAGATAGCTTGTGGGAATGGGTTTATGATTAAAGTGGGGTGTGCATTTGACAAAGATCAATCGGGCTACACGAGAAAAATGAAATGGTCACGTGTCAATAACAAAGACTAGATGTCGGTGTAAATTGTCCAATAATCTGACGGAGAATTAAACAGATAAAAGACTTCAAGGACGCGAAAGCTGACGTTATCAATACTCGCTGTAAGTAATATGGAAGACTCCCTATACTATAATCCCTATAGCTGTTGCTACTGGTTCTGATCCAAAAGTAACAATTTAGCTTGGAATTCTGCACGGGATGTCGTTAATAAGAAAAAAAAATATTTATAAATTCTTAGGTTTTTTTTTTTCGCATATCGCAGTATTCAATTGAAACAAGTTTTACTAATATTTTGTTTTAAAAAGAGATTCTTCCTAGTCTACTTTGATAGCAGGATATATTAATGAAAAATCAGAAATAAACATTTAAAATCCATTCAAAATTATCGACGAGGCTTGATGTGCGCAAAGCATAGCAAAAAATACTGTGATCTCGCAAGTACACAAATGTTTTTAGTTTTTTATTCAATAGGTAAAACATCTTGTTTCTTATCCTGGTGATAAATATTAACGATCTGGATTGGACTTGACGTGTGAAAACGCGATCCATAGAATGCTAAATAAAGTTTTAATTATTTTGAACCAAAAAGGAAACGAGAAAGAGATATATTCCTTAATTTCAAAATATATATTGGAACTTCAAAAAAGTCGATCTAAATATAACCACTTCATAAATAAATGAACAATGGAAACAAAGTTCAATTTCCGGTAAATTCTAATTATAAACAAGTTGAAACATGAATATCGATATCGGGACGTTACAGCATGCATTGATGGCTGGTATCGACATCAAAGCCCCAGATCTATAAACATTGTGTGATTGCACTACGAAGACCCCTGTTTGTTAGACTTAATGTCTAAATCATGACCCGATCCAGAGCATTCCGCTCGGTAGTCAACATCCCCCGAAATAGGCCGAATTATCAATAAGAATAACATTGCATGAACCTCCTTTTAAAAGTAGCAGGGAATATAACCTTATGATTTAAAAGGGTAGGCATATTTTCATTTATAGACGACACCTGCCATGTTCATCTAGTGTAATGTCATGTTTTCAAACTGAGAACCGAGTCAATAACAACAAAACCACTATACTTTTTATCGAGCGCTGAACACATAAAGCGTTATATATTGGGAAGACGGTACACATTTCTTTATGAGATGTTGAAGCCGACAAAAATCTATTCCCACTAATCTCCAATCAGCAGTGACATCTTCACATCGCAAGTCAGTGTAACTTTTTATCTAGAAAATGGCAATCAGAATTCTCATCGCGACTAACAAACAGATCAATCATTGCCAATTCCTGTTGATACAATGAATAATGTCACTAAATTTCTCGTTATATAAACCTAACACAACACCTCGGTATTGGAAAGTAAAATTGAAGGACTTGTCAAGTATATTGTTCTTTTCCTTGATAATTCGATCTCATACAAAAACAGCTTTAAAATATCAGCTATGAGAGATGCGCAGCATATGATCTAATGACAGATCTACAGGGAGATCATTAAAAAGGTGACAGAATAATAAGACCATCTGTTTCAAAAAACTTATTCTGCTTAATCGATACTATCCGCTAAGCATACTTGATTAAGCAGTCAAATAGACACTAAGTAAATATCATTGGCCAAGTATACCTTGGTTATACATTCTCAAACAGGCACCAGGTCTATATCACCAGCCAAGTATACCTTGGTTATACATTCTCAAACAGGCACCAGGTCTATATCACCAGCCAAGTATACCTTGGTTATACATTCTCAAACAGGCACCAGGTCTATATCACCAGCCAAGTATACCTTGGTTATACATTCTCAAAAAGGCACCAGGTCTATATCACCAGCCAAGTATACTTTGGTTATACATTCTCAAACAGGCACCAGGTCTATATCACCAGCCAAGTATACCTTGGTTATACATTCTCAAACAGGCACCAGGTCTATATCACCAGCAAAGTATACCTTGGTTATACATTCTCAAACAGGCACCTAGTCTATATCACCAGCCAAATAAACATAGGTTACGTTCTCAAAAAGGCACCAGGTCTATATCATCAGCCAAATAAACATAGGTTACGTTCTCAATAGCACCAGGTCCATAACACCACCAAATAAACATAGGTTACGTTCTCAAATAGGCACCAGTTCCATATCACCCGTGAAATAAATTATCGGTTACGTTCTCAAATAGGTACCAGTCCATATCACTCGTCAAATAAACACTGGTTACGTTCTCAATAGCACCAGGTATATAACAACTATCAGTCACATTATTGAGCTTCGAACAGATCTACCCTCTTGCTAGTCAAGGGAATAGTAAAGTTTTTGATGAGATCGTTATGAAATGCCTATCAGAAAACTTTTTAATATCTTTAGCAGCTTCAACACCATTAGCTTGTATGTCATCTTTTGACGTCGTTCAAGAAAATTGGGTTATTAAGAAGAAACCCTTGAACGTCACTAATATCGAAAATTCACAACCGTTCTTTATTAACAATCATTTTTTTGTTGCGAGTTCAAATCTACATTCCGCCCATTCCTTCTTTAGTTCTATTTAATATTTGCTGCTATTTGATATTTTTCTTGATTAAAAGCAATGCAAGTCTTATTTCAGTGACTAGATATCGATATAGAGACGAATGGCAGGAATAATAGAAGTACATAGAGTAAAATCGCGAGACTTCGATCTAATCCG